CAACTTCTCGGGATCGACTACAACGAGACCTTCGCTCTAATTGCTCAGCTAGATACTATAAGGGCTCTAATCGCTCTCGCGGCCCAGAAGAAATGGAAAATCTACCAGATCGATGTATAGTCAGCATTCCTCAATGGCTATCTAGAAGAGGAGATCTATGTCGAACAACCTCAAGGGTTCGTGGCAGAAGGACAAGAAAATAGAGTCCTAAAACTAAAAAGGCGCTTTATGGATTGANAACAAGCCCCACGAGCTTGGTACAGCAGAATTGATGACTACTTCATCAGTCATGGATTCAAAAGAAGCGAAATTGAGCCAACACTCTACATCAAGACCCAAGGTAACGACAACAAACTCATTATTTCTCTTTATGTTGATGATCTTGTTTATACAGGAAATAATGAGGAGATGATTAAGGAGCTCAAAGAAGATATGATGAAGACCTTTGAGATGACAAACCTTGGGCAAATGAGCTATTTTCTCGGCATTGAGGTAATCCAAGAAGAAAATGGGATATTTATCTCACAGAGGAAATACACAGATAATCTACTAAAAAGGTTCAAGATGGACGGCTGTAAACCTGTCGTTATTTCCCATTGTAGCGAATGAAAAAATCAGCAAAGACGACGGTACGCCAAATGCAGACGCATCTACATACCGAAGCTTGATTGGAAGCCTACTATATCTAACGGCCACAAGACCAGATATCATGTACGCGACAAGTCTACTATCGAGGTTCATGCAAAGTCCGAGCCAAGTTCACTATGGAGCCGCGAAGAGAATACTGTGATATTTGCAGGGTACTAAAGACTACGGAATCCAATACGAATATAACGAAGATTCAAGACTGATCGGCTACACAGATAGTGACTGTGCTGGATCAACTGACGACATGAAAAGCACATAGGCTACATATTTTCACTTGGCTCAGGCATATTCTCGTGGTCATCTAAAAAGCAAAACTGTGTGGCGCAATCATCAGCAGAGGCCGAGTATGTCGCAGCAGCACTAACGACAAGTCAAGCTATTTGGCTTAGTCGTATTCTTGGATACGTGGGAGAACACCAAGAAAGTCCAACAGAGATATATTGCGACAACAAATTAACGATAGCAATGGCCAAGAATCCTGTACATCACAGCAGGACCAAACACATTGCTATCAAATATCATTTTTTAAGAGAAGCTATTAATAACAAGCAGATAGAACTCACTTATGTTGCCACTGAAGATCAACTTGCAGATATTTTTACAAACGCCTTACCACGACCAAGATTCGAGACTCTACGCGAAAAACTTGGAATTATGAGCATTAAGGGGGAGTATTAAAACATTTAATGCTCATACTTGGTAGGTGGTTGTTAAATTAAATAAATTAGTTAGTTGTTAAAAATTAATGATGTATTAAAAAACTAAAAAATCTAGCTTATGTCGGTTGAAACCACCGACTTATGGTGGCTATATATATGTACTCATATTGTGGATATAAAAACAAGAAAAAGAAACGGGCTGCTCTCAATACCTCCGGTTCTCTGGTGTTGGGGACTAGGGGGGTCTGGTGCCTCCGAGCTCGGCTAGTGGTGTTAGACGAGGTCGGGTTGTGCTGGTGTGGGGAGGTGGTCTGGTTCTCTCGGTTGGAGGTGGGTCGTTTTGAGATGGGTTCGGGGCTCGGGCTCGGCTTCTGTATAGGCGTTGTCGCAGTTTCGGTAGCAGTTCCTCGGGCTTGGGATCTTCTTGGGTCGATTGTTTCTCTGCTGGTTTGGGCTCGTTAGTTGGTTGGGGAAGGGCCTTATGCTTCGTATTTAATTTTAATTTTCGTCTGCTTGAGTCTATGTTGGTGTTGTTATTATCTTGTCTGTAGTTTGTCTATGTTATGTTTTGTGTCGTTGTGTTGATTAGGTCGTGTTTTTGGTTTGGGTCGTTGGCCCCTGTGCGCCCGAATGTCATTTTCATTACTCTGTTGGAGTCCGACGCTCGGGAATGGCCCTGATGAGGCCCTTGTGTTGCTAGTTGGTGTTTTTTTGTTTTTTTAGTGTTATTGAGTCTACCCCGTTGGGGTCGGTTCTAGGCAGGCATTTGTCCTGTCCTCCCAGTTTTTAGCTATTGGCTGCTTGTACTCAGCTGTTGGCTGCTTGTAATCAGCTGGTGGCTGCTTTCTGCACCTTTGTGCGTTATATATAATATCCCTATCGTTTCGTTAAAAAAATAAAAAGCTCCTTACCTCCAGCTATTAAAAAAAATAATAATAATAACTATTGCTACTTCAATAATTCACTACCAACAGAATAAAATAAATTAATATTACTACTAAAAAAAAAAAAAATAGGAGTTAACAAGGTAAACTTGCCATTAATATTTATTTAATTTTAGAAAATTAAAGTGATTAATTACAGGCCAAATGTTCGAATATTTTAATATTTTTTATTGATTCCTTTTATGTGACCTTTATTAATTCTTTTTTTTCATGTTCAAAGATGATGAAAGGACTCGTTTCACAATATTAATTATCTGAACAAATTAGTATATAGCTTAACCTAATCTAAGGGTTGCTATCAACTTTTATCATCCAATGGTCCATATTAGTAGCACCGTGCCCTAAACTTATTTGTGTTGTTACGACAATTCACATCATGTATGTAGGTGCGGTAGATTTTGAATGTCTGCTCTCGACAACGATCGAGATTGAGGCCGCAGATTTCGAGATCGACCCGCATCTTGTTGTTGTAGTGCCATATGGAGAGAGCTTTTACATAGGCAGCCGGCAGTACGTACATATGTGGAAAAATCTGGAAGACGACAAGGACGACGACGGCAGAAAGAAGAAGGACGACGATCCGAGCAGAGTAACTCATTGCTAGTGCGAACACAAATCGATTCAATCAAAAAGCAGTTTAATTATTTTTTTTTGGGTTAGGTTAATAGGTTTGGTGCGGGTATTTGTAGGCAAAAGGGCTTATGTTAAGATTTCACACTAATTGTTAGGAAAAGGATTGTTCAACTAGTTGGGATTCTTTATTTTTATCCTAATTACAAAAGGAAAATAGTAATCATCCATAAAATATTACAAGTAATATATGCGAATTTAATATGAAAATTGTAGATAATGAATATATCACACAAAAAAAAAAAGAAAAAAATAATAGTGATGGTTTTTATAATTACCGTTTACGAGTAGAATTCATATTAAAATTGAAAACAGGAAGAATCGAATTATCGAAATGTAATTGATTGACGTAAGTTGTCAATAGGAAATAATTTTTTGGCTATTAATTTTGACAACACAAATATTTTACATGAAATTTTTAATATCTGTAAGTCCAATTTCAACTAATTATAGTAAATTTTGTTACGTTTTAGACACATATTTAATTTGTAAAAAAATTATCTTACAATAATATGTGATTTTTTATATTTTGTATTTTTTTATTGTCATGATGAGATGTTTAAATATAAATAATTATATTTAAAATAAAATTTTAAAAAATATTTCAGATACATGCTCGTCTGTGCATTGCACGGGACAGGCACTAGTTATAATAGTATAGATGAAGCATTTCAACAAATAGCNAATAATAATAACAAAATATTTGATAAAAATATATGTATATCTACCCGTGTTCAAGCAAACCCCAAAAGAATTAAAAAGAGAATCTTCATGAATCAAAACAACACTAGGAAAAAAAAATTCCGAGAGACTGATATGTTTTAAGAGAGAGAAAGTGAAGAATGTTGAACTGCCAATAGTCTCAACGACGTGGAGATGCATTTTTTTTGTGTTCATATTTCAAGATTCGATTTATTTAAAGAATCAGAGATTTAGGTGCATTGAGTGGTGGGATATAACTAAGGTCGTCAATCGCATCCATCCTTGCCACCTGTAACAAGAGAACAAACATATCTGGTGAATTAATCATTTTTTTTTTTTTTTCTGTAAAAAAAGAAAGGTTGCATTTGGATGGGATCTGAAGCTATCAGATCTATGACAGCAAATCCATGAGGCTCATTTGATCAATCTCATAATTGAGTGTACATAAAAACACTATGTTTCTATTTAAACATCCAATTACCATTTNAAGGACTTTTCTTCAGTGAAATCACTATGTTCTTGTTGAGTTTAACACAAGTCCCAATTCTAAAGTTTGGAAGACAATCGATATGGGTAATTTTTGCCATGTTTGTAAAGTATGTTTCTTTTGCTCAAAATGGCAATAATACTGATATAGTGACTTGGCTAATTGGTTTTAAGACCAAATCATTAGAAGGCAAAAAGCTGAGCCTGAACAAGTTGGAATATGTAGGAGAAATATAGGAAGTTGGCATTACCTCCTTCAGGATATATTGAGTTGTAATGAACCTCTGCCCAGAAACTCAAGAAAATAACTGCGAAATAAATTAACGCAATTTTTTTTCAACACAATGAGCCGAATTTATAGGGAGAGTTAAAGTATAGCTAACCACGTATCATATTCGACAAACAATGAGAAGGTTATCAGGAGAAATTAAAGAGAAACAGAAAGAAGCAGTTGTACCTCGTTCAGACTTTTGAACGTGTGGAAGAATCTCAATGTAACAAGTATCCTTAAATGACGTTATGACGAATACTTTCATACCATACTGCACCAAGTAAAAAACGAGCATCATTCCCATGAATCGCTTTGTTGAAAAAGCACATTGAGACAAACATAAACGATATAGCTTAAAGGATCGAATCACAAAAACTAGCCACTTTTTAATAATTGAAAAAAAAAAAAAAAATAATGCGAGTGATGAAGAAAAATATTACACAATCTGCAGCAGCTTGCAGAGTGACATGATCTCCCCACTCTCCATTCCTATATATATTCAATCCCCATACATTAGACACATAATAAAAAAAGAGGATGCTTGAAATTAAATGAGACTTCAAATACTGTAGTTGATGGATATACTTGGACATGTTTGACAGATAATGATCGTAAGCCATGGGTACGTATCCCTCGTATATCTCTGGGTAAGACCTAAGCTAGAACTCCAAATTATTGGAAGATGAAGAATCAATTTCGTGCAAAATCAAAGCTATAACTATGTAGAAACGAAAAATCGCAACAAGAGAAAACTTCAACCTGTTTCACAATCTGCTGACGGACGAATTTGTGATGCTCAGGTGTACGATAAAATTGGTCTGACAGAGCTCGAAACTGAAAAACAAGGATAAAAGAGAGAAGAAAAAAAATAAAATAAAAAACAAGTTAGTACGTTTCAGGCATATCACTACTTAATATTTATGAGAAAACCAATACTGACAATCACAAAATCTAAGTATCAACTACAAAATTCTCTATAACCGTAACAGAGAATGAAATACTGAGGCAGAACAAGAGTTTGGAATATGCTCAAACTGAATATACAAATAAAATAATTGACCTGGCAGTTACCATCTCCAAGAACTTTGAATTCTACCAACTCATACATCAGTAATCTACAAAAGATAAAAGTAAACGGAGTTCAAATTTGCATTATTGCAGTAGTTATACAATATATATTACTAGACACTTAAGTTATATCAGATGTCAAGTTATTTTTGCTCCATTTAATTGACCACTAACAAAACATCATTTATCTCCATGTTAGTAACTTCCATTTCCCGGACAAATTTTTTAATTACCTGTCCCGAAGCCTTTGATAATCAAGTGTTGCGTCATCTATGGAGGGTATATCGCCATTAATTTTCGGAATATGCTGCATAAACGAGGCAGTGTTTGAAGGAAAACGAAAAACAAATCGGAAACTAAATGGTGTGAACTAGAAATCTCAAGGAAATAAACAAACACACCTTCATTTAACTTCCCTCATTTCAGTTATCATGAAAAGAATGCACTTAGTTAACCGAAAAATTGACAAGAAAGCTGCACTCACTGGAATTGGAACCATCTGGTTCAACTTTTTACCCACTTCGCCATTAAAAGCATACTCGTCCATTAATTCAAGCAAATACGACCAATCCTCTTCAGGATACATTTCATCCCCCAAGTCATTTACTTCTTCATTCTCGTTCTCATTCGCTAGAAGTCATGATGAACGAAAACTAATAGTTTAAAAAACGAATTCTCAAACCGACCTTAAATCTAATAGTTTAGAGACAAGGGCATACCATTGTCAATTACATAAGTGTTGTTTCCCAACGACTGAGAAAACCAATCTTGAGGACAAAACGGGGACTGTTGGCTTTCAACAGCCTCCTGGTAGGATTTGATTGGATTTGGCTCGACTACTGAAAGTCGAGACAGCTCCTCGTGAAGATTGTCTGCATTAACATAATTTTCTAGTTGATAGTTGCTATCCGTATTGTTTTGTGGTATGGAGCACGAATATCCGCAATTCAAATACGGGTCGCCTTCAAACAGCTGGAGCCCCCAGAGGAGGACATCTGGATCTTGCTCGTATGTAATCATGCCTGGAACTAAAATGGCTTAAAGTAAGTGCACCAAGAGGAAAATGGATAATCATGATTAGCAAATTTCAATCTATATGGAAAAAAATAATGTTGCATGCACTTCCAAAGAGCAAAGATAAAGTGAATTATTTAGGAACAGAGTGTTTTATAGTCCATTCTATAAATGGACTTTCTAAATTTGACTTATGGAAAAACCTACAACTTGGAATTCAAAAAATGGACCTTTTTGAAAGTGCATCTCAAATTATTATTATCAGAATAGATTCAAGAGTTTTACGAAAAAAACAATAAAGTAATTTTTGTGCTCTTCGCTATTCCTAGCGAAAATGCAGCATTTTGCAAAGCAAAAAGGCAAGATGGTCTTAAACATTCCAATGGTTCGTACAAATTATGTAAGAACCTATAAATACAATTTTAATCGATTTACATGGCACATTTTCTCATTACATCATTATATCCATTTAAAGAGTAAATGCAACTGCTTAGAAAATTCCTTCTGTCTCAAGTCAGAAACAGATAAAAGCACCTAATACTGAAAAATTAGATAAAACACCAAACAATATGTTGGACACTATGAACTACCACCTCATTTAAAAGATGCAGTCAAGTTGCAGAAAGAGAATTTACGACCCTAAGAAGGTCAGTCAGGTGAAAAAAANTAAAAAAAAAAAAAAATAGTAATATTGAAAGTGAAAATTTACCATCTCTGTCTCCTTAGAATGACATAATTGGGCATAATTGTCAGACGAAAACACTTTCCCAAACAGAATCCTAAACGCAACCAGATCAATCCAAATCTAAACACTACTGAATGCATTATTAAAATCTAAAAGACACACATTCAAACGAATCCCATCTGAGGATTAAAGTAAATAAATAAGTAAATAAAGGAAAATACAATGCAGCAACGATGGATGCCATGCACTGCTCGCTTATGAATGACAGGAATCCTTAAATTGCACAAAAGAAAAAATGAAAAATGTGCAGCTTAGCAACTCACCAATGGCGTTCTCAAACTCTCGGCCGCATCGAAGTCATGTTAAGATGCAAAATTATATCCTTCCTTGTACCCAAACAAATTACAGTCTCGGGGTGCCACGGGAATAATTGTGAGTAAACAATAATAATGGGATTGATTGTTAGGGTGAAAGATAAATCGTGAATTTCGGGGGTGGTGTGGTGTGTCATGTCACGAGGTGAGTACAGAGGTTTAGAGAGAGGACAACGAAAATGGAATCTCAGTTTGGGGCCGTCTCAATTCCCCACTGTGTCTCAGAAAGCTGTTGTCAAACTGACGGCGATTCCTTTGCCTTTTTCTCTTTTCCCGTTTTCTTGTCTCCTTTTTCATGTTTTTTAAATTGTGTTGTTGTACGGTCATCATGTTTTTCTATTTATTTTTTCAATCATTTTAGAGATTTTTCCCCATCATACAATAAATATAAAACATTTGTTTACAGAATAATGAATAAAATCTCAAGAGCATCTTCTTCCGACGTCATTCATTCAAACACAAACACATCTTTCTTCCACCTCTCTCATGTCATGTTCAAAATTGATCTGTGGGACACCATATCAACGCATATTATATTAATTTATAAAAGCTTTTCCCAACTTTTTTTTTGGGTATTGTTATTCACCGCCCCCATTTTATTAGTCACCGCCTTCTTGGACAATTTTGTCATTCTCATTTTTTCTAAACATCTCAGAGGAAAGTGTACGGTGAAATGTCGTCAAATTCGGAGGTACGAAAAAATACGTGTCCGGCCGCCGGTTCCGGACGGCTTTTAGCCCGTCCGGCCGCCGGAACCAGACGGTTTTTAAGCCGTCCGGCCGGCCGGTCCGGACGAGCTAAAAGCTGTCCGGAAAGTACGGCCGGTCGGACCGGCCATGTCCGAACCGGCCGGCCGGACGGCTAAAAAGCCGTCCGAAAACGACGGCCGGTCGGAACCGGTCCGTCCGGTTCGGCCGGCCGGACATTTTTTTCTTAAAAAAAAATTATTATGTTATATATTCGAAATAATTATGTTATAAATTGGACTATATTATTATGTTATAAATTATTATGTTACATTTTAGACTTGATTATGATATAAGTTGGACGTTTATCGTGTTAGGAATTACAAATTATTATGTTACATGTTGATTATAATATAAATAGGACGTTAGATATTATCGTGTTACGAGTTAGAAATTATTATATTACATATTAGTCTTAGTTATGTTATAAATTGACGTTAGATAGTATCGTGTTAAGAGTTACAAATTATTGTGTTACATGTTTATTATAATATAAATTGGACGTTAGATATTATCATGTTACAAATTATTATGTTACATGGTAGAATTAATTATCTTAATTTAACATGTTCTAAAAATATAAATATTGTACTATATAGCAGGAGTCATGGGAAGATTTTGGAGGAGATGGTGTTGATTACAGTCTGCGTTTCGATACATGTACATTATATAATAGTGCTCAGGAGGCTATTGAAGCTGCAAAACACCAGGCAATGCTGAATGGTTTCCTATTAATAATTTCGAGCCACAAAAAGAAAACGCTCAGACTTTTGAAGTGCCATAGAGGCGAACGGTACAGAGGCACAGGCGGAAATTCTAGAAAGACAAAAACGAATAAGTGCGGCTGCAATTTCAGATCAAAGTAAAAAAGGTGTCCGGCGCTCCATACTGGAGGATCTGTAGATGTAGCAACGAAGAGAAAGGCTACCATAACCATGCATTTGCTGTGTATCCTGAGGTCATAGCCAGTTGAACGGCCTCAGCGCTTCATCTAAGAAAATTGTTCGTGACATGACGGACGCTCAGGTGGCCCCGAAAAAAATTATGGCAGCGCTGAAGGAAAAGAATCCAGGAGACAACGTTCATGTGCGGCAGGTATATATATTTATATCTTGTAATATATGTTTTAATTAACTTTTTTAAATTAATTATGATAATTAGTAATTTTTTATATGTAAAAGTTATTGTGATAGTTAAAAATTTTTTTATCAAATTAATCGCATTAATATACTTTTTTATTTATTAATATAATAAATTTTTTGTTTTAAATCATAATAATCATTATAATTAACGCTAATCGGTGACAGGTATATAACTTTAGAAATAAGCTGCGGACAGATAGTTCCGACGGTAGAGACGTTCCTTCCCAGCTTATGCATTTGGCCGCGAGCAGCGAGTATACAGTTTATGCAGAATCCGATCCGAACACGAAAGTGTTGACGCATATATTCATGGCCCATCCTGCGTCGATCAATCTATTTCGGACATATCACTGGTATGTCGGTATAGATTCCACGTATAAAACCAGCAGGTATGTTACTTTATAAATAATTTATTAGTATGAATCTTAAATAGTGCGTTTGATTAAGTTAAGTTTTATGTGCTTATATTTTTTGTCTTCTTGGTCACATTGGCACAGGTACAAGATGCCGTTGGTCGAGATGATTGGGATGACGCCGTGCAACCAGAACTTCCTAATTGTGTATACCCTCATCAGGGACGAGAAAGAGGCCAGTTACGACTGGGTTCTAGAGAAGTTGAGACTACTGATAGGCCAAAGCGTATATCCTTATGTTGTTGTCAGTGACAGAGAGTTGGGTTTACTCACTCCTATTCAGAGGCATTTTCCTGAATCAGCCCACTTACTCTGCACGTGGCACATCAACAAGGATGTGGAAGCCAAAACCTACCAACTATTTGGGAAGAATAAAAAATTCTCGGAGATTTTCACGCACAGTACGTGGAAGGCGATTACAGAGGCCAGTACGTTCGATGCCATTGCCGAGCTTCACGCAAAATATTCGAACAATGCAGAGGTGATACGGTATGTGGATGGCACATGGTTAGTGCACCGCGAGAAGTTTGTGATGGCTTGGACCAACCGAGTGACACATTTTGGAAACACAACTTCCTGTAGGGTGGAGAGTGCCCACTCTGCGTTGAAGGAGTGGCTTCAGACGTCCACCGGCGCGCTCGATACGGTTTGGCAGAAGATTAATAAGCATATCGATAATCAAGTGACTGAAATCAAGTACGTACTCAATTTTTAAATGCGTTATTATATTACTGCATTAATTAATTATAATCGAACATTATGTAACGTATTATCAGGACGGCGCTTGAGGCCTTGAGATCTAAGAAGAATACACGGTATAAGGGAATCCGTTTCGCGAGTGTGATACTGAGGGTCTCGCATTACTGTCTGAGTTTATTGGACGCTGAGCTTACGAGGATGCACAAGTTGGACACCGATGTTTACACTAGTTGCGGTTGTGTATTGCAGGTCACTCATAGACTTCCTTGTGCCTGTCTCCTCCGTAACGCAGTTGATTTCGACGTTCCGATTGATCTCGGAATGATTCACCAGTTCTGGAGAACGCTCGAGATATTAGAGCCAGGTAATTTAAGATTAATGTTTTATTTATAATTTTCTATTAAAATACATTATTTGTTTTAATTCATTGACTTTTTTATCGTATACTTGTAGGGACTGGTCATCCGAGTCAGGCGAGCAACGCTGCATGGTCAGATACGGCGTTCTTTCAGACACTTGTGACTGAGGTTGAAACCCGCGATCCCGCGACGATGAGGTACGTGAATCAGTTCATGTACAGTCATCTTTACCCAGACCAACAGGATTATGCGGAACCTGATGTTAAGGATAACCCGCGAGGTCGTCCCAAGAAGACTAATTCAACTAAGCGTAAACCATCTGCTTTTGAGCACAACAATAGATCGCGAGGTCGAAAATCGAGCCGTACGACCAATTCTTCGCGTGGACAGACAAGTCCGTCTTCTCAACAGTCACAAGAGGATGAAGGTCATACATTTTTTTTTTAAATATGGCTGAGCGTTAATTAAAGTATTTATATGATTATATAAATTGTGACGTGAAATTATTATGATATTTATTGCAGAGTTTAGACCGAAAAATATATTTGGATTTTCAATGTGGCAAAGTATCCCCTGGCATATGTTGGACTACATAGTGAGTTACCTGAATGTGGATGCGGATGGTAACTGCGGATTTCGGGTCATCGCGAGTCACATGTATGGTCATCAGAAGTACTGGGCAGATGCAAGAGAAAACATTGCGAGGGAGGTCGACAGCCACCCTGAATTGTACGAGTACATCTATTTTAGAGATATCGAGACCGGACTCCGTCGCGTAAGGTGGGGCAACGGCCCTTGTGGACGGGCTCACTGGTTCGAAGTTCCGTAGGACTTCTATGCCGTTGCGACCCTATTTAATGTGGTTGTCGTTCATTTGAGCTCTGGTCCACAAGGTGGGCAGCACGACTTATTCAACACCACAGTGTTGCCTCTCACTGCACGATCATCGGCTAGAGGACCATGTCGTGAGATTGCCATTTGCCATCTTGGTACCGTAGCACACTACATTCGTTTAGATTTGACCGATGATTGTCCATTACCGCCTATTCATTTCATGTGGTTTCAGTTCTGAGATCAATCGGTTGTGGGTTGGGAGGATCAGTACGAGTCTAGGTTGCGATTGTGGTTTACTGTTCAAACAAATCCTTCTTGAATAAAAGAATGATATTATTCAGTTATGGTATGACGCTTCTCATTCAACTTAAGTTTAGCAAAAAAAAAAAAAATCATTCAACTTAATGTTTTACAATAATAATTAAAAAAAACATCCATTACATCATTATTGGGCATTGTCGTAATCCAACTTAAACTTAGCCAGCTGTCCTTCGACTTCCGCCGCCTCCGGACAGTCTGGAACAATCTGCTGCAAGGTCGATGTAATGCCCAAAAGACGGTCCACCTACTAAAAAAATGGAAGAATGAATACATAAGACTAAAATTTATTTAAAAAAAAATTATTGTAATGAATTAACATTAATTAAAATTTAGTAACCAACTTACATAGGCGGTATTGACACGCGTTGGGACCTCGTTCTCGTCCGGCAGCTCCTCGCCCATGAGAGTCGGATGGGAAACCCGACTGTACCACTGCTGGTATTCCTCAATCGCCTCCCCGCGATCCTGTGTGGTGTGGGTCAACATACCGGTGTTGACCGTCCCAGACATCGGGAACTGGGTCCAGGCACCTACTGCACCAGCCTCAGAATGCTCAACCTTGTAGTTCCTAGACTCCCAAGCACGTATTGCACTGATTGGCGGGTATATAGGGGGAGGGACAGTCTGGACATACCCCAACTGACGCAGACACCACGCAGGAAAGTACGGCTCGACGACATCGCGGTATCGAATCAATCCGCTATATAGAGTCCTCGGCTCTATCGCATCTGGGCTGGAGCTGCCGTATGGAAACCATTGCACCT